TTATTTACTCAGATGAGCTCAGTGTCAAAAAAAAAAACAACTGCAATTTTTCCTCCCATTCCAAATCTTTTCTTTACACGCAAGCTATGGAAAATGGAACAGCAACACCCACACACTAATATCTACTGTTCCCTGTGACAGAACACATGCCGTGCCACCCCACTGTCTTCAGAGTAAACAGCACAGAGATAAAAATATACATATATACATATATATATGTATAACAGTCAGAGAAAACCAATGACATGCAGACCATCTGATTGGAAGTGGGGTACTGTGGACTATGGGATTGCATGGGCTGGTAGTCACCATCAGGCAGAATTGATAAAATATAGCCAGGGATTATACAGATGGGTGATTCCAGTATTCTTCTGTACCCAAAAAGATTCTGTTCCATTAGCTGTTGCTTCCCAAATATGTCCACCCTAGAGATGTCTGGCCTTTCAGCCCAAGTGATTTCTAAAGTACTTCTCTCCATCAGCATTCTCATTTGCCCTGAACTTTACAGCTGGTCCAAGCCAAAATAATCACCACAACATGTACTAGTAAGATAATGCTAATGATTGTGATTTCTCGCTTTAAAGTGCAGGAGCAGATGATCCCAAAATACTGGAAGTCAAGGTGGGGCAAAAGACTGGATCAGCTGAGCAGGGATCTCCTTGAACTAAGATGGAAAAGTGGGACTTGGCAATCAAAGTCAGGTGACACAGGAGAACTACAGACATGCCATTTATCATTGTATAGTGAAAATTCATCTGGCCAAACCTCAGTGGATCTGAATGATTAACTCCTAGCTGACTCTGAACTTGGATGGTATTTGCTACTGCAACTGAATGTATCTAAGTGTCATCAAGGCACACTGTTGACTTATATCAACATACTGCTTGCAGATGATACTAAATTAAAATATTTTGTTGATTCTGTTGAAGGTAGAGTGACCTTGCAGAGAGATCCTGAGAGCCTAGAGGGCTCAACTACTGCATGAAATTTTAAAAGATTAAGTGCTAGATTTGGATTAGATGTCAAGGGGAAGGTTTTCACAAAGAGTGATGAGGTGCAAGAAATGGCTGCCCAGAGAGGTTGTGGATGCCTCATCCCTGGAGGTGCTTAAGGTCAAATTGGATGGAATCCTGAGCAACCTGATCTACTTCTTGATCTAGCAGTTGGCAACTCTGCCCTCTGCAGGGTGTTGGAACGAGATGATTTTAAGGTCCCTTCCAACCCAAGACATTCTATGATTCTATGATTATGATTCTGCAAATGGAATCGAGCAATCCTGGTAAAAGGCCAGAGAACAGCTGCATAGAAAGGGATCTGGGACTTCTGGTTGACAGCAAGTTAAATCTGAGTAAACAATATACTCCAGCAGCCAAAAAGCCAGACATATCCTGGGGTATGTCAGACAAAATAATGCTAGCTGGGCAAGGGCAGAGATTCTCCCACTCTTCACTGCTGCGACCTCATCTCAAACAATGTTTACAGTTTTGACAATGATAAGAACGTAAAACTATTAGAGAGAGTCCAAAGGAGGGCTGCTTAGATGATGAAAGGTTTTGAGAGGAAGATATATGAGAAAGTGCTGAGGTTTGTCACCTAGAGGAGACTGAGAGGAAGCCTCATGGCAACCTACAGCTTCCTCACAAGGGGAGCATAGAAGCTGGTGAGCATCTCCTCTCTCTGGTAACAAAGATAGGATCCGATTGAATGGTGTGGAGATATGTCAGTGGAGGACTGAATATTAGGAAAATGTTCTTCGCTGAGAGGATGGCTGGGCATTGGAACAGGCTTCCCAGGGATGTAATCATGGCACTAAGTCTGCTGGAATCCAAGAATCACTTAGATAATGCTCTCAGAGATTCCGTTTAATTTTTAGGTAGTTGTGTGTGGAACCAGGATTTGGAGTTGATAATCCTTGCGGATCCCTTTCAACCTATGATATTCTATGACTCTATGATAACTGGAGAACTCAAAGAACAAAAAGAACAAAAAGAATATAAGGGACACAGAGTACCATGAGCATGACAGATCACCTCCTTGTCCCACTTATTTTGAAGAGTTCCTTTCCCTTCTACTCAGATTAATTTACCTTCCCTTGGAAAGACAGTTTGCCTTCTTGAATCCTATCCATTCTGGTGGTTTCCTTTCCCTTCTATTTTGACTGATCTACTTTCCAGCAAGGTTCCTACCTGTCAACACTGGCTGGTTAGCTAATGTGTTTAAAATAGACGAGAAATGTTAAGGTTTGTATCTTACAAGCCAGTCAGATTGTGGAGCTTTCCAAATATGCTTGTTATTCACTTGTTATCTAAGACTGCCAAAATGTCTCTAGCGGATTTTATTGCACTTCTTCCAGTCCAGTTAAGACGAGATAGAAAGTAGTATTTACCATAAGAAAATCACTGGAGAGTGAGGGGAACAAGAACAGTGAACTGCCAGTGAGAGTCACTCTCTGCTATTATAAACTTCAACATTACAAATAGGCGAAAGTAGATTTAATTCCCTTAAATACAACAGTCCTAATTGTTAAAAGAGTGTAAATAGAAGAAAAAAAGTCTTATATTTATTTCCAGTCCAATTAATGGTCATTACACCGACAGATTTCTGCAAATTACAGGAAGAATGACTTACACTACTATTTGAGGAAGACTCATAGGTCATAAATCTATGACTTTGATTGTCATAAATTAGCTAGCTGCTAGTGAAGAGAGATTCCATCTGTTCTAATAATCTCCAGCCGAATGACCTGAATGCCATCCTGAAAGCCAGGTAACTATCAGAAAGTTTTTAGCAAAAGGTTCAGGAGCCCAAGTCTTTGTACAGGGAAGGACTGATCTGAAAGCAGGATATGCTCACAAAAAACCTTCTCTAATAGACGTTGAAATAAGAAAGGTTAAAAATCCCATTAAACATGGACCTGGTAATACTAAATGTGGAACAGTCCTTTTTGAAAAAGAGACTACTCAGTTACTTATGGGAGCTATACTGTTGGCTCGTCCACATAGTTAATCCAATAATGCTAAGAAGGCAGCAAATGGGATATGAGGTTGTTTTCTTTGTTCTTCATTTGTCAATTAGTTTCTGCTGTTTGACCATTATTTATTTATTTACCATTATGTTAAAAAAAATGAAAGATCAGAGAGACCCACAGAGCTCACTAGGTATTTATGGAATTTATTGGAAGGCAGTCTTAAGTCTTGTGTGGAACAAGTAATTCTTATGTTAAATGTTCTCTAATACACAGGTCTGGAAGAGCAGTATGTGCCCATGACCAAAAGTTTCAAAAAATGTTGTAGGATAAAAATACACAATTATTATTGAAATGTGAAGGCATCCATTTCAAGGGAAAACTTGAAAGTTTGAGACATGAAGGGAAGGTTGAACTAATGAATAGTACTATTGATGGTATTAAAAATCCCAAGAGCTAGGTCGTACAGCTTTTATGGCTGAATAGCAGTTAATTGTGGAAGGGGTAAGTAAAGTAGGCAGTAAGAAAGCTGCATACTTCACTAGACCTGGTTGAGTCAGGTAAAAAGAAAATGCCAATGGCTTACTGGGGTGCATTAAAAAGAGCGTGTCCAGCAGGTCAAAGGAGGTGATCCTCCCCCTCTACTCTGCCCTGGTAAGACCTCATCTGGAGTACTGCGTCCAGTTCTGGGCTCCCCAGTACAAAAAAGACAGGGATCTCTTGGAAAGAGTCCAGCGGAGGGCCACGAAGATGGTGAAGGGCCTGGAGCATCTCTCCTATGAGGAAAGGCTGAGTGAACTGGGTCTGTTCAGCCTTGAGAAAAGGAGACTGAGAGGGGACCTGATCCAGGTCAATAAATATCTAAGGTGTGGGGGGCAGAATGGCGAGGCCAGACTGTTCAGTGGTGAGTGGAGACAGGACAAGGGGAAACGGCTGGAAACTGCAGCATAGGAAGTTCCACACAAACATGTGCAAGAACTTCTTTACAGTGAGGGTGACGGAGCACTGGAACAGGCTGTCCAGGGAGGTGGTGGAGTCTCCTTCTCTGGAGATGTTCAAGACCTGCCTGGATGCCTACCTGTGTGACCTGCTGTAGGGAACCTGCTTTGGCAGGGGAGTTGGTCTTGATGATCTCAGGAGGTCCCTTCCAACCCCTACAATTCTGTGATTCTGTGATTCTGTGAAAAAGAAAACATCAAAAATTTATAATTTGAGGAAGAATGAAAGAAGAAAGTCCATAGGTTTTTTCAGATAATTAAAATGTGCTATTTTTTTTATGGCGGGTTTAAGTGACAAGAAAGTTCATTACATTCTCATCTGAGACATTTTAGTGTTCCCAGTTCAGTTGATTTTGAGAGTAGCTCTGTAGAGAACACAGAAACTAGAGTGATGTGTTGTGTCCACTTATTTCATGCTTCCTCACTAACTATTTTCCCTTAGAAATATGGAATGCTAAGGATTTGAGCAAGTTGTAGAAAATTTAACAAACTGACTCTGTCCAGTCAACATCCCATATAAAATATCCCATTATAAAATAGGTTTGTCAAACTAGGCTGAAGTGAATACTTCTCTATGCTGGCTTTAAGACCACTGACAAATTACATTGAAAAAAAGAGTTTTCAGAAAATCAGCCTATATTTGTCAGTGACACAGGACTGTGAGTCCTACAACTTATCGATAAAGAACAGAACGACATTTCAGAGATCAGTCAGCTGACTGTAGAGCACCAGCACTTCCTGGAAGTTTGCACCCCTACTATCATTCCTTTTAAAAACAACAAAAACAACAAACTGGGACAAAATATGCATTTTCTAGAGCTGACTGGTACACTCAGATAAAAAAAAAAGTTTTTTCTGTGGTGTGTATCTTGTAAACACTGTTGTCAGCCATGCTATCAGAATTAGAAGGGCATGCTTGGGAACATCAATCTGGCCTGTAAACTGTCAGTGTATGTGGCATGATGAAGGAAACGTAGCCTCATTCTGCTGTTCCCTGGGTAAAAGGAGAGCTCCCAGGAATGTTGGCAGATGATAAGCAGAAATGCCAGAACACTAATCCCTCAGAGCAAATCTTCTCATTGCTACACTTTGACTAACATGTTGCTGTGAACAGGACCTGGAAATGGTAAGGACACACTTTCTTTATTAGATTTGATAAGTACTGGCTCAGATTAAATTAATTACATGGAACATCTTCTGTATTTGCTACAGAACATGTCTGTTAGATGTGGAGCTTCACATGTTGCCATGCCTTCTAAAGATGTCCACTAAGAACCTGTTTGAAAGTTCATGATAAAAAAATCATGTGTTGAGGCAGAAGGGTGGGAAGAGGTAAAAGATTTTGCATTGATTTCTTGAGAAAAAAACAATAATGGCCATTATTAATATGAGTTGTGGACTAATTCTCCAGTAATAAGACAGTTGGCACTAACAATCTGCCTGTGCATGTCAATGAAAACTGCGGTTTCTTGGGCTCAACATAAATTTCATGAGGACATTATGGATGATAACCAGTTTATGTCACAGTTCAGACAAGGCAGCAGCAGAGATGACCATCCTCTTTCCTAATCCTGCTCAAGAACTAGTATCTGCAATACCTTGTTCGTTTTCAATTTAATATTACTGCATGAAAAGGAAAGCAAATATTCCATGTACTCACACAGGGGACTTCTATACACTCAGTCTTCTCTTTCCAGTAATAACTCTGTTTCTCACATAAACTAAAAGCAAATTAGTCCCTTGGAAAGGTCCTGAAGCAGCCACCTGAAACTATAAAGGTATATAAACGTGCAAACTGTGATTAAACATAGGCAGTACTGTACCATCAGGATTTACAGTTCAGACAGTATTAAGTGACTCTTAGATGAAGGTGGTGACATTCAGAATACCCTTTCCTTCACACACTCAAGCAGCTGAGTGACTCCAGTTACAGAACAGGTGAGTATAGTGAAAAAGTCTGGAAGCCTCTGGGTAAGGTGCAGAAAGCAGAGGAACAACAGGTGGCCAAAAGTCAGAGAAGGGCAAGCAGGCAGATGGAAGGGAAAATAGAGTTACTAATATGATACTAACATTTGGACTCAGATGACTCCAGAGAAGATGTTAGGTGGCATGTTCCTTAGCTGACCCTTCATCTGTCACAAAATTGGTGAAGTGTCATGAGATGAATGTAACCCTGATGTGTGACTCTCATTAACAAGACATGGAAAGTACAACTAAACTATGATTTGCCTGAACATCGTGTGATTATTTCCTACTCATTTTAAGCTGTAAAGACCATTTCACTCGATCACTGCTTTACCGAGTGCACAGATGTAACCTTTGACTTATTCCTTCACGCGGTCAAGTCGCTAATGCTCTGTTGCTCCCTCGGAGACTTTTCCAGCTGAGCTGCATCTTCCTGGAGCAGGGTGACCCCTAGGGGCTTCTAAGAAAAGCTGGCAAAGAATTCGGGCGTTGGTGCTCTGCGCCGTGCTCTACCTTGCAGATTTGCTGTCCTTGGATTTTACCTACTGGTATCCCCAGCCTGAACTCTTTCTGTATGTCGAAGGATACGTTCCCAGCAATACTGTCTTGTCTTCCAAAGGGATATCCAATAAGTAGAATAAAATGTTTTAACTGACTTCTTTTTCTCTCCTTCATGACAAATGCATGATCTTTCACAACTAGTAATTACATCCAGAGTTCAGAAAGACTTTTGAATGGAACTGATTAATTGGTTTGTCAGTCTTCACTCAGTAGAAGCTTCTTTCTTTAGAACAGGAATATTTTCAGTTAATCCTAGTTCCATTAATAAAAGTTATTTACATTGCTGAGCTCCAGATTGTCATACCCCCGAGAGCCTTTGCAATCCACGTAGCTCTACTGGAGTCCATACACCAACCGAATCTGTGTCAAACTTTCTCTCAGAGTTGTTCATATACGGTATTTATGGGCCAATGTTTATTTTTTGTAAGATCAGTGACCTCTACATTATTTATCAGCCAATTAGCAGCCTGACTCTACAGGATGTTTATGAAAGCTGATTCTAATATTGAAGGTATGGCATTGAACTACAAATACATGGGATATAAAATATAGTTTCATTTACATTAATTAATGAGAGTATTTTCCTGAAATTAATGAGGAACAATTCCAGATTCTCAACACCTAAACAAATATTTAAGACATAATATTTATGGACTTCTACTGGTCAAATGCAACCTAGTGGCACCTGCAGGTTGAGCAGTTAATAGAGGGAGGTCTCCCTGCTTATAGCAGAGGATTGGAACTAAATGATCTTAAAGGTCCCTTTCAACCCAAACGATTCTATGATCACCACAGTACATGTGCAGCTTGTTAATCACTGATACAGTTTAATATTTTACTTTTAAAAATAATCTATATGAAAACTTTTATTTTTAGTATTAGTACTCATCTTCTATTCAAAGAAAGTATCAAATCAAAGATGCAAAGTCTCTGACAGCATGGTGTGTAAAATTTCTTTGGAAAATAACACCATGCCTTTCCATATGTATGCTATTAATTGTGCCCACTTGATTCCACCAAGATAGCAGACAGAAGACAAATTGTTTTGCAGCAACACCAACTCACTATGTTTTTTAGTTTAGTAACTGTAAAAATAGTTTTAAATTAATATAAACATGTATCTTTTCCCAAAATTGTACGGACTGTGTACTGAATTTTCTTTCCCCAGAAGCACCAAATCCTCAACTTAGACATTTGCATTCACCCAAGATGCTTACAATGACCTTAACCATTGCTTAGAAAGAAAAACAAAGATAGGATCTTTCTTACGTTCTGCCATGTGCATAATGATGTAATAATTATGGTTATAATTGTTCATATAATCATAATTGTACTGACTTTACACATTTAAAAGCAGCCTCAAGTCTATGAGTTCTTATAAAAAACACCTCAAATCTTCTTGTCTCTATTGGCCACCTTTGTCTCCTGTTCCTTACCTTCTCCTGTTACTCTTACCTACTATATTCTCCCAAACTCAGCATCTTTTTTCCTTATTCTTCTGCCCCTGAAGCTGGCTTCAATTTGTATTTCCAAATGTCCTCATCAATGTTAATATCCTTTTCTTTCACATGTAGCCACAGTTTTCCACCTCATATATCAGACATCTCAACCTCTGTTAATTCTCATCTTATCTCAGATCTCATTTGTGCATCCTCACTCCTCCTTGGAGAGGTGATCCACACAGACAAGGGCATGAAGTGCAGCCCACGCAAACACTGTAACTATCTCTGCTTCTTGGCCTTCCAAAGTTATACCTTGCAGTTGTGGCTAGCTCGTCTCCATGGAATTAGAAAGAAGACCTTATGAAGGAGAGGATTTTAAGAACACTGCAGCAAGAGTGTACTTCTGTGCCTGCAGTCTTGTCTGCATAGAGATCTGCAGTCTGGAACTTCTCCTTTGGGCCAGGGACAACATCTCTGGGGGATGCTGTCACCCAGCCCCTGCCTCACATGGGGTTTGCACACGCTATCACAGTACAGTCAGCATTAACTGTAGGCATAGTCTTTGGGCATGCCTTCATTATCAGTTACTGTCACACAGTTTGGCTGTACGATGGAGTGTTTCTGGAACACATTAACCGGTTGTCTCTGGTTAGAAACAAAATCAAACTCCTGTTCCACTCCCAGTGGGGTGCCAGCTTCCACCCTCAGCCCCTTTCCCAGAAAGCTGCGCAGGGCAGGAATCTGTGCAGAGAGGGCTGAGGCAGGAGCCAGTCCTGCACCTTGTCTTCAGCGGCTTTTTCACCACTAATTTACACTTTGGATGAGCAGTGCCCCAGTAGGTCAACCCTAGCAGGACCCAGGAATTGTCTCTGCCTCTGGAGAAGGGCAGGTATTGCTGCTCCCTCCCCGCTCCTGGTGGGCACTGCAGCAGAAACCGCAGCAGGGCCTTGCCACTGCTGGCTGTGCGTCCGCCTGAGGGGGCTGCAGGCGCTGTCTTTGCAATTGCAGGGCTTTACTCTGTCCTGCCAGCAACTGTCTGGTGGATTTGCTCACTAGAAAACCATCAATCTTCTTACCTGCCTACATGCTCCTGCACCTGTGTGGGCAGGGTCACAGAGCACTGCAGGTGTTAGGCCTCCGGCTGCTGATAAATCTTGCTTCATTTGTAAATTTTCAGCCCAGGATGGTGCAGTAAATCCTCTGAAACTTACTGGGATGAGAATATTTCTTGTGTTGTCACGTCACAGTAGCTTTCTTTCACATTTTGAGACATGGAGGGAGACCTCCATGTGGCCTACAGCTTCCTCACAAGGGGAGTAAGTAGCAGGGGAGGCTCTGATCTTTTCTGTTAGGGAACAAGCAATATGGCTTGTGGGAATGGAATGTAATTAAGAAGTTCTCCACAGAGAGGGTGACCGAACAGGCAGTGCAGGGAGGTGGTCACAGCAGCAAGCCTGGTAGAGTTTGATAAGCATTTGGAAAACACTCTCAGATTATGGTTTGATTTTGGGGGAGTGCTGTGCAGAGGCAGGAGATGGACTCAAGAGCTTTGTGGATCCTATCCAACTCAGGATATTCAGTGATTTTGTCCACTGCCAGCCAGTGTTTTAAGAGACATGGATACTTAAGGAAAGCATGACCTGTCTAAGCAGGCTGTTAACAATCCATCCTTCCAGAAGACTCTTCACCAAGGCGGAGAGCCACGCACACCTGGTAGTGCAGCCTCTGTTGCCTCTCACCTCACAGTCGTGCAGGTTGATGTGCTTCATCCTTCAGGATAGATTAGATCTTTTCAACTGGGCACATGCAGAAATCGTACTGATTTTAGGCCCATCTACAAGGTTCATATCTCTATGGCTAGTTTCTCAGGTGGTAAAACATCCATTCAGACATTTTACACATTTCCACTGAATAGTGTGTCTTCTTGCAGAGGTGCAGCTTGCCTTTTTTCTTCCATTCAACTCTCTTAGAAACTCTTCCTAAAAGGGAAACTGCATTTTATGGCAGCCTGGACTGTTTTGTTCTACACTCTTCTGGAAGTGCAGAATCACCTCCCTCACTCTGCTGCCCACCCCCTGTGGGGCTCAGAGGGTTGAGATAACAACAGATCTGACCAGATCACGTTACAACAAAATTGTTGTAAGTGGTAGAGTAGCTTAACAACTGCTGGACACAATGCTGATCTTTTCATTCACTGTTGCTTTATTTGCTTTCAGGGTTGTTTTTCTCAACTCTGACCATGTTGGTTATTACCTCTGAGAGCTGACTTACGCTTCTTTATGGTTTTGCCAGATTGAATGTAGCATGTTCTCATGTTATACAAGTCTTGGGTTGTATTCAGTATTGCCACCATTCTCTGACTACAGGAACCTTACTGCAGAAATTCTTATCAAGTAAAGAACTCCCTACTACAGGCAAGCTAAAGCAGTTGTTGAAAATTTTTAATATACCTGGAGAGTTCAAATAGGCACGATCTTACTGCTGTGTCTTCTGTATATGTATCCTGTTTAATTTATGGTTAAGAAATTATTCAAAAATACCACCCAGAGATCTGCCTTGGGGCAAGATGTACCACCCAGAGATCTGCCTTGGGGCAAGATGACTGTGGGTGGTAAGGTGTGTGGAAAGATATGGGCAGATGATCACTTCTGATGGATCTGCAACTCACCCCTGAACAAGTGCAGAATCCTAAACAGCTAACAGAATGTTTTTAAAAGTTATGCCCTGATCCTGGTAATGTCAGAGAGTAACAGCACTGTGTTGGTGCCTGGCCTGAACCAATTAAACACTATTCAGCATTACTCAGCACCCTCAAAAGGAAATGCCTCTGGATCTGACTCAACTCCAGCGACAGCCCTGTGACTGAACCAACCTCTGCAATAGGCCCTGAGGCTGAGCCAGAGAGCCGGTCAATGCCAGTGTCAGTTGCCCCTATAAGCAACAGGGAAAAATGTTAGCGAAAATCAGATTGTTTAGTAAGGAAAGAAACTCTTACTAAGAGGGAAAATGAAGATGAAGCAGATGAAGCAGGGCTATCACAAAAACAGGAGGAGGAGAGAGACAGAACTCCTAGAAGAGAACCATCTGACCCTAATGTTAGATGAACTGTGAGATATGGAACGGGATTTCAGCCATAGTTGTGGTGAACACATTGCCACCTGGCTGCTCCAGTGCTGAGATAATGGAGACCATAGTCTGGATTTAGTGGGCAAGTGAAACCAAATGGCTGGGATCTCTTTCTAAGATAGCTGGCACTGACAAAATAATAGGAAAAGGGGCATAGACCTTCACCCTGTGGTGCAACTCTCATCAGCTGTGAAGGAAAGATATGCTTCAAGGAAGGGTTGGTATTTAACCCAGAAAAATGGACCACAATGGAGAAAGGTGTCCAGTACCTAAGGGAGCTAGTGTGGTAGAGATAATAAATGATAGTAACTTGGGCAATAATATGTTATTCCAAGATCCAAATAACATCATGTACGCACAGTCTTTGTAGTGTAGATACGTAGAGAGTGCATCACAACTTGTTCTGGATGCCATCTCCAAGCAATTGGAAGAGAAAATCGGGAGTATTCAACATGGATTCAGCAAGGGGAAATCGCGATCAGCCAACCTGATAGCTTTCTATTATGTCATCACTGGCTGGGTAGAGGAGGGGCGAGCAATGGATTTTGCATACCTTGACATCAGCAAGGGATTTGACACTGTCTCTCACAACATCCTAGTTATTAAACTTAAAAAATGGTGGGATAGATGAGTGGATGGTGAAATGGATTGTGAACCGGCTGACTGATAAAGTTCAGAGGGCCATTATTAGCAGCATAGAGTCTGGTTGGAGGCCTGTAACTAGCAATGCTCCCCAAATGTCAGTGCTGTGTCCAGTCTTGTTCAACATAGTCGTCAGTGACCTGGATGAAGGGATAGAGTCCACCCTCAGAAAGTTTGATGATGATACAAAGCTGGTAGGAGTGGCTGACACACCAGAAGTCTGTGCTGCTGTGCAACAAGACCTGGACAGACTGGAGAGCTGGTCAGGGAAGAACCTGATGAGATTTTAAAAGAGCAAATAAGTCTTGGATTTGGGGAGGAAAATCTCTGTTCGTCAGTACAGGTTAGGGGATGACCTGCTGGAAAGTAGCTCTGTAGAAGGATGGGAAAGTAGGAAAGTAGGAGGAGGATGTGGGGGTCCAGGTGGACAACAGATTGGCCATGAGTTAACAGTGTGCCCTTGAAGTCAAGAAGGCCAATGATATCCTGGGGTGCATTACAAAGAGAGTGGCTAGCAGGTCGAGGGAGGTGATCCTCTTCCTCTGGTCTGCCCTGGTGAGGTCATATTTAGTATACTATGTTCAGGTCCAGGCTCCCCAATTCAAAAAAGACAAGGATCTCCTAGAAGGTGATAGGGATAGGACAAGGGGAATGGTTTTAAACTGAGACGGGGAGGTTTATGTTGGATATTAGGAGGAAGTTCTTCACACAGAGGATGGTGAGGCACTTGAACAGGTTGCCCAAGGAGGCTGTGGATGCCCCATCCCTGCAGGCATTCAAGGCCAGGCTGGATGTGGCTCTGGACAGCCTGGGCTGGTGGTTGGCAACCATGTGCATAGCAGGGGGTTGGAACAAGATAATGCTTCTTGTCCTTTTCAACCCAGGCCATTCTATGATTCTATGATTCTATGATTCTATGATTCTATGATTCTATGAAGGTGTCCAGTGGAGGGCTACAAAGATTAGTAAAGGTCTAGAACATTTCCTGTATGAGGGAGGGTTGAGCAACCTGGGTCTGTTCAGCCTGGGGAAAAGAAGACTGAGGGGGGTCTGATTAATGTTTATAAATATCCAAAAAGTGACGTGGGACACAAATGGATAATGCCAGGCTCTTCTCTGTGTAGTGATAGGACAAAGAGCAGTGGCCTAAAACTTGAACATAGGAAGTTCCATGCAAACGTGAGGAAGGACTTCTTTATAGTAAGTGACAGAGCACTGGAACAGGCTGCCTAGAGAGGTTGTGAATCTCCTTATATGGAGATATTCAAGACCCGTCTGGATGTCTACCTGTGCTGTCTACTGTAGAGTACTTGCTCTAGCAGAGAGGTTGGACTTGATCTCTTGAGATCCATTCCAACCCCTGTAATTCTGTGATTCTGCGATCAGTCTGTGTCTCAGCTGCAGACAAACTGGTTAAATGGCCCAAAGAAAAGAGAGTAAGTTTTCTCCTGCACATGTACAAACCACTTGAGGGACAGGAGTAAGTGGGTACACCCTATGTGCCATCCTATGGCTTTACCCACATGACCATGGAGAGGATATGAGGAAGCGGGATGGAAAACCCACCTCAAATCTACAGGCACATGTATGTGAATTGCAAGGGAAAAACCATAACAAGAGAGTGTTCTTCCAGGAAAATGGCTGCTCTAGTTTCCAGTGGGCTGATCCAGACTGCTCTGACACAGGGGAAGCTCCTGAACCTGCATTAAGTTGATGACATCATTAAATGAGGCAACACAGCAAAGAAAGTTTTTCAGAAAGGAAAAAAAAAAAATTCAAATCCTTCCAAAAGCTGGGATTTTTTGTTGTTTTGTTTGTTTGTTTGTTTGTTTTTATAAAATAAAGTAAGGTCAAAGGACCTGAACAGGAAATCCAGTCCTTAAGAATAAAATGACAAGATGGACATGATCAGATCCCCATGGATGTGATCAGTAAATAAACTATTAGGTCTCCATCAACTAACAAAAAGACAAGATTTCTTAGTTCTTGTGAGTTTTTGGAGAATGCGTATTCTGGATTACAGCCTGATTGTAAACCCTCTCCATGAAGTGATCCAGAAGAAGCAGCTGAGCAACTACAGGCTTTGAACAAATTAAATAGGAGATAGTTCATGTAGTAGCCATTGGGCCAATCTGGAATGGAAAAGATATAAAAAACATGCCCTATACCACAGCTGGACAGAATGGCCAGACCTGGAGCCTTGGGCAGAAATTCTCAAGGAAAACAAATTGTGGAAGATACTGAAGGAGAAGGTGAAGTAAGCCAATTTGCAGAGAGCCACCCAGCTGGCTTTAGGCATTGCTGAATGAGAGAAGTGGCAGTGCTCTATGTCTATACTGACTCCTGGGGGGTGGCAGGTGCTCTCCGGGTGTAATTACAGCTGTGGAAGCAGAATAAATGGCAGCACAGAGGCAAACCCATCTGGGCCACTGCACTGTGGAAAGATCTTGCTGCCCTGATAGAGAACATGGTTGTAAAGGTACATCACACAGATGCTCATGTACCCAAGAGTCGTGCCACTGAAGAACATCACAACAACCAGCAGGTGGATCAGGCTGCTAGGATTGAAATGGCTGAGGCAGATCTGGACTGGCAGCATTAGGATGAATTATTTCTAATTTGGCATGCCCATAATACCTCAGGTCATCAAGGAAGAGACGCATCCTGTAGATGGGCTTGGGATCAAGGGTTGGACTTGACTATGGATGGTACTGCAGAAGTTACCCTTTAATGTGAAATGTGTACTGTAATTAAATAAGTGAAGTGGATAAAGCCTCTTTATTTTGAAGAGTAACGGCTGTGATTTCCCTGCCTTTGAAATGTCATTTCTAATTCTGTTCCAATCACTAATTCACAGCTAATGAATTGAGATAGAAGTGGTAAGCAATTGGCTGCTAGTAGACAGAAAGCTCTACCGTGGTAAGAACATGCAAAGGTTATAAGCCAAAATTGGGTCCAAAAGCACATGATAACAGACACAGTAACCAGTTACAAGAGGAAGAGATGAAATCTAATGCTCATGATGTGTCTGTGAAGTAATCCTTTTATTTGCCATGTATGGAGGGGGTTAAAAATACAAATTATGGAAGAAAGTGACAGAGTTTTCACATTTTGTGAATTCCTTATGCCACTTTACTGTCATGACATTCTCACTCTTCCTCTTCTATCTTCTTGCCATGAATCTCCCGGCTCTTCACTCGGAGCTTGTTGACCTGTGACTCTGCAATGTCAGCCCGCTCCTCTGCTTCCTCCAGCTCGTGCTGGATCTTGCGGAATTTGGACAGGTTGACATTGGACAGCTCCTCCTGTACAAGGACAAGGAGTTGGTGGTGAGGAACCAAGGCAGGGGTTTCAGTCCTTTTGTGCCCAGGCCTTGAGGGGCTGTAGCTCCCCAGAGGAAAGCACAGACCTTGTCTCCTGCCTACCATGGCTTAAACATAAGACTCACAAAGACTTCCTCATCCACCCTTATTTGAGAACCCACATTAACAAAAAGCACCAGAAATTTGTCACTCTTGAGGAGCTGTTTTGTCACATGGTCTTATTATTTCTTGTACTTATTCTCCTCTTCCCTAGTGCCTGATTTACATTTCAGTTGTTAGATTCAGAAACACATGAAAACCCCATGATGTTGATTACTGCCACAGATTCATGAGCCTCTTAGTTAATGGATGTTGGCAATTTTAGTTTCATTTCCTGGATAAACTACACTGCAAAACATCCCTCAGTCAATCTCTGACTGCAGCATGCCCCAAAGAAAGCAAGGCTGCCTGACATGATAATGAACAATGAGCCAAGACGTGTCTCGGGAGATTCTTTCAGGCCCTTTTCTGGTTTTCATTCTGATCTCTACAATCATACTTCCTTGAAGTAAAATTACTCTCACTCATTCTTCAAGTTATACTTACAGCCTCCTCAGCTTGTCTCTTGTAGGATTTCACCTTCATCTGCAGTTTATCCACCAGATCCTGGAGCCTGAGAATATTCTTCCGGTCTTCCTCAGTCTAAAGAAGTTGATAAGCAGGAAAGATAGAATTGCTTCCCAAATGAAGACAACAATACCGCATGGGGACAATGCGCAGCCATTTTGACGTGCTGGTGTAAGGGGTGTCAACTCAAGGAGGCTTCCTGCCTTACCTGGTAGGTCAGCTCCTTCACCCTCCTCTCATACTTGCGCACACCCTTCACGGCTTCAGCACTGCGCTTCTGTTCAGAATCAACCTCCCCTTCCAGCTCCCGCACCTGCAATGAGAAACCCATATTTGGAGCTTCCCTGCTATGACCTGGTATTGCACACACTTGCACAAATACCAGCCCTACGCACCCTGGCCTCCAGCTTCTGGAGTTGCTTCTTGCCTCCCTTCAGGGCCAGCTGCTCTGCCTCATCCAGACGGAGCTGCAGGTCCTTCACTGTCTGGTCCATGTTCTTCTTCATCCTCTCCAGGTGGGCACTGGTGTCCTGCTCCTTCTTCAGCTCTTCTGCCATCATGGCCGCCTGGAGAGGCAAAGCAGCAAAGCCAGGTTTGCCAGAGACTTTTTGGGGGAGATGCATCAGCCATCAGCAGTGAAAGAGCCACGACTCACATCGGTGATGGCCTTCT